GGTATGTTGGGACAGTTCGAGAATTAATCTGAGTGGGTGATCATAGTGACAGGTTCAGCCCCTTTGTCGGACAAAGGTAATGATCGGGGATGCACTCTCTCTGATGGAAACCAAGACTGCCGGTAGCTGATTTCAATCGTTGAAATTTGTTTTGCAAAATATATTTATATTCGGATATACATATATATATTATGGTTTCAAAATGTTTGCAAAAGGTTTTAATTCTCGTGATCCATGTGAGTAGAGAGTGCAGTACTGTTCCTTGTAGTCGAGGGAGAGGTCCTCTCTTGTCGAGCAGTGTTTGATCATTAAGGGCTGAGAGGTTAAATGTAAGACCATTGAGAGTAATACCTGATGGGCTAATCTTGTATCTGCCCACAGTCCCTGGGCTTTTATAAGGTGGCTTGGCCCAAGGACCACTTAGTGTAAGTGTTGGGCCCATTAGGAGCCCATGTGATGGGTTTGAAGGGGTTCACTGTCTGTTCAGTGAATTCGGCCAGGTCTTGTAACAGAGGCTGGGCTGAACCCATGTGGCTTATGTGTAAATCAATGTTTGGGTCCCATGCCATACAAAGAAGCCCAACTGGGCAGTAGTTTGGAAGCATACTGAGCAGTAAGAGTTCATGGGCCTAAAGCCCATTTCGAACTAGGCTGATTTGATCATTTAAATAAAGGGGCGGATCTGGGATTAAATCAGCAGATAGGATAGGGTCTTACCCTATCCACTCAGAGAGTCTAGATCTGAATACAAATTTAGATATGGAAACCTCCTAATAAGATTAGGAGAGGGCTGATCTAATATGTAGATAAGATCAGGGTCTGCCCTTATCACTTAAAGGGAATTCAGATCCAAATATGATTTGGGTCAGCAACTCCTAATGGGATTAGGAGCTGATCTCTTCAAGGTTATAAAAGGAGGAGGGGGCAGCAACCTCTTAGAAGATCACATACTCACTCTCAGAGCAAGAGTTACAGAAGAGAGAACATAGCATCACTGCGCTATTTTTCTCTCTGCCGCCTCCTTCCTGTCGTCGCCGCCACACTGCCAGTTCGATCTCCTCTTTCAAGCAGGAGCGATCAAGATTCTGATATGAAGTTGTGCTCACAGCCTCCAGCGAATTCTTGTGAAGGGTTTGGTTTGTTGGACGAACACTGCTGATTCTGCTCCAACATTCACTGTGTCATATTCAGTGGGAGCGGTCTTTGGAGTCTTTTTTTGGGCGTGAACACCTTCGTTGGGAGATATTGTTTCTCTGTATCAGGTACATCTCTCTCAATTCTTCTGGTTTTAGATCTGGTTCGATTTAGGGTTCAAGATTGATCCTTGAAAATGCAGATTTTCTAAAACAGGGAATGTGATTCCCAGATGAGGGGAGAGGAAATTTTTGAAATTTCGCCCAACCTTCCTGCAGGGTTCGGACATCCCTATGATGGGTCTCTCATTCCTTCAATAACTTCATGCAGTCGGCTGTTCTAGGGCTGCATGAGAGTACTTCTAGAAACCCTAGCCACTGCTCTGATACCAAGTAGAAAGTTTGCTGAATTAAAAAATATGAAATAAATGGAGTTTCTTGAAGAAACAAGGAAGAGAGAAGGAGAAGAAGAGAAGTTGAAAAGAAAGGAGAGCAATAATCTGGCCGCCCCCTTTCACTTGTTATTTATATTAAAAATAATAGAGTAGTACAAAGACAACTATGCCCTTATAGGGCGGCAAGACATAAAACAGCATATATAAGACACAAAAACATAATAAAATTTGGACTCACATAACTACTGTTGTCCCCATCTCCTATCTAACAACTAACATAAAACATCTACTCATAAAAAACATCATAAAACTGAATAATTTTCAACAGAAGAGAAAGGTTGAAAACCGAACGTTTTTATTCAATTTTCAAAAAAAATTAAAAATATAATATATAATATCATATATATACAATATTATATAAATATATATTACTGTATATATTATAATATATATATATATATATATATATATATATATCGGTCAGTTCGATTAACTGCCGGTTTTTTGAAAACACCGAACCAAAACCGAACCAACTGGTTCGGTTAACCGATTTTTCGGTTTGGTTTCGGTCGGTTCGATTTTTCAGTTTCTTTTGCTCACCCCTAGCGATAGGGGGGCACCTTGTCGCCTAGTCACCTAGACGATGGATTTTTTTAAGTAAAAACATGCATCCTATGGTAGTTCCCTAGGTTCCATAATCATATTTCCTTAATAAATATCCATAATTTTCATAAGAAAAGTATAAACTTCATGTTAAAGTATAGAAAATCAACATATTCCAATATATTCATGAGAAGAAAAAGAAGAAAGAAAAAAATTTAAAAAATATAGGGGCTGAACCCCTTTTTCTGTTATAGGAAAAGAAGAAAAGAAAAGGTGGAAGAAGAAGTAGAAATTAGTATATAAACACACAGAATTAGTAAATAAAAATAAGAAAATGTGTTGATTGGACAACATTTTATGTTCTTCCTTGCTTATTGGTTCAGGTTTTGAAGTCGTTGAGGGTTCAATACAGCGTTTAGCAATGTTTGTGTTGATTAAACCCTAACAAATAAGAAAATAATAAAAAGAAATTTGTATATAAACACACAAAATGAATATTTTAGTTTAAAAATGTATTTTATAATTATAACATCGAAATATTAAGAATATAAAAGTTTTTTTATAAAAAGCTATAGAAAACTACTTGGTGATTAGGCGAGGCGAGCCTCCAAGGGCGCCTAGGCGTTGCCTTGGCAACTATGCCAGTGATGTATCCCAGCAAACTTCTACTTGTAATATGAAGTTTTTTTAGAGATAGATCACTCTTTAAAGTTATACTCATTTAGTTTCACATTAGTAATTTGTAGACTGGGGAAACTAGGGTTTTCTATGTTCAAAAACCCTCACTTGGTCTATTTTCCTTTGAGGTTACTTCACTTGAGTTTGAGGATGACATTTGACCTTCCAAAACTCAGTTGCTTTAACTTCAGTTCTGCTGTAACTTACAGGAACACAAACAGCTACCTTTCAGCTTCGGTTCAGCAGTTTTTTTATGCTGAAACCCTAGTTTTCCACTCGCCTGAACTGCATTCATCTACAGTTTTGCCCAAAAAAGAGAAGGCCTATCAACTCCCTGTTTTGCCAGAGTGTCTGCCAGTCCATTTGCTGTCCTTTTGGTCCACTCAAATGTAGAGTTAAATTTCTTGGACAGTAGTTCAAGAAAGAGTACAAAGAAAAATCTGCCCCTGATTAGTGGGCAGGAAGAAAAAAAAGAAATTACATATTAGAACAGTAGGGCCCAGGCCCATTAAGCCCAAGAGAGAAACAAAACAGAAAAAAAAAACATAAGAAATAAAGCCCAAGCCCACAAACTAAGTCTCACAACAAGGACATATGTTACCTTCCAAATAAAGATTTCTTGGGAAGGAGTAATATTATTTGATTAATTGATAATATCTTAATATTGTTCTTAAAGATTGCGGATTTTGATATCAATTTCTTCATTTTTTTAATCTCCCTGGCTAATATTGTTAAATATGTGAGCCCAGGTTGATAGATGAGAAATCATTATCGTTTTCCAGTTCATAGCTCATGGTCTTTCTACCGAAAAGATCGTTTTGATTTGACATCTAATGCACAGTTTTCTGTTTTTGGTCTATCAGATTAGGCGAAGCTATTGATAGGACGCTTGTTAACCATCTTCTGAAGATGTTTACTGCTCTAGGAATCTATTCAGAAAGCTTTGAAAAGCCATTTCTTGAGTGCACATCTGAATTTTATGCCTCTGAGGGTGTAAAGTACATGCAGCAATCAGACGTTCCAGATTACTTGAAGCATGTGGAGGTGCTTTGTTATTGATTTCTTTCTTGCTCGTGCCTCTTATTCTTTTGTTGTTTTTGTTTCTGTTGGTTCCTAGCTTCTGAATTGTGAATATTATCTTGGACCTGTTGCTATTCCGAGAATGCTCTACTTGTTTGAGCTAATGTTCTATGAACTTTATGTATCAATGAATTAAGGCAACGCATGCTTGCAGCTAAGGTTGCATGAAGAACATGAAAGATGCTTACTCTATTTGGATGCAAGTACAAGGAAGCCACTGGTGGCTACTGCAGAAAGGCAGCTTCTTGAGCATCATACCTCTGCAATTCTTGATAAGGTTGGATCATGTTAGACTTTACAATACTCTGTTCAATTGTTCAATCATCTTTTTCTTGTTTGGAAATTCCAATGTAACTTCTTTTACCGCTATATGTGTATCCTGATCTTTTCAGGGATTCGCGATGCTGATGGATGGGAATCGCATTGAGGACCTTCAAAGGATGTATTCACTATTTTCAAGGGTTAATGCCCTTGAATCTCTACGGCAGGCTCTTAGCTCTTACATCCGGGGTACTGGGCAGGGTATTGTAATGGATGAAGAGAAGGACAAAGATTTGGTGCCTTCTCTTTTGGAGTTTAAGGCTTCTCTTGATACAATATGGGAAGAAAGCTTCTCCAGAAATGAATCATTTTCTAATACCATAAAGGATGCATTTGAACATTTAATTAATCTTCGTCAGGTTTGTGTTGTCTTAACAGACTTATCTTGTTCAGTTGGAAATATCATATGTTTTACCTAGTAAAATGGTAGAAAATAGGAAAACAGTAACATCAACATTTAGTTATGAAGATGAGGTTGAAAACTTAAGAGGGTTTGGGCAGGGATTAGAACCATAACCCTCCACAGTCATAGGTTTAAAGAAGATGCCTAGTTGACAAGGTTGAGATATAGAAGGTTCCACATATTGAGTTAGAGAAAGCCCAAAAACTCTGCTCATTGCTTTGGTATTCAATAACTGATAAATAATATCCCAGAAACCAATGAATAAATCAAGAGAATTAAGAAGAGAAAAAGAAAGAACAAAGAATGATAAGAAATGACATGAATGTTATATATTGCATAGAAATAGATTTTTTTTTGATAAGTATAGCACAAAAATAGAAATACCCAAAATTATAAGTGTATTTTTTTCCTGAGATCAGAGTAATTATTTTATGTATGATTAATTGGAACAAAACAAGAAACAGCCCGGCTAGTATTGACAACAATGGCAGGCCAGGGGAGTAAAAAGACAAAATCAAGGAGTTATTCTTTGCTCCTTTTTTTTTTGTCCTTTTCTATTCAACTCATTCCATTTAGACAAAAGGAATTGGAACTGCCGATAAATTTTGTAGATATGTTTTAGTTACAATATCTAGGTTTTATTGAGAAAGCAAACAAGGAGGAGAAAAGGAGATGAGAAGAGAAGAAGAGAGAAATGTTCGAATGGAGAATAGAGAGCTACTGTTCACTCTCTCAAACTTGGAATTTTATACTATTAAGAGAAATTACAAGTAAGCCCTCATATAGGTGCCCAAATACAAGAGAGCACCCAAATACAAAGGAACAGAAAGACAAAAATACCCTTGCATCCAAACAATCTCAACACTCCCCCTCAAGCTGAGCATATATATCAATCATGCCCAGCTTGTCTATGTTCTTGGCAAACTTTGGATGATGAAGGCCTTTAGTGAGACAATCAGCCAGTTGGTCTTCTAACCTTACAAAAGGTAGGATGAATTCTTTGATTAATTGGACAAAAGTTCAAAATGGATTGCTCAGTTTGAGGTCCAGATTTCTTTTTGAAGGGAAAGTAGAGATAATATAATATAAAGCCAACAGTAAAAAAATCATGTACATAGAGGTTCCGTACAAAAGCTTAGACTGTGCAAAAGATTATATGTTACCGTGAAACAAAAAGGGTGTGTTGAAAGAAGAGATGGTTGGCATCTCTTGGGATAGGGATGGAAACAGCCTTTGGTCATACGACTCTTACCTGTTACTGCACATACTGTCAACCAAAAGGTGTAAGAAGGACCCAACACCAGGCTATTGTGTTTTAATAATTGGCCCAGTGGCCCAGTCCAATGATGGAAAGGCAATAGAAAAAATGCAAAGAGGATTTTTATGGAGCATTAAAGGGTTGGAGAAGAAATGCCATTTAGTAAAATGGGACTAGGTGTGTAGGGATAAGAAAGATGGTGGGCTTGGGATAAGAAGGATAAGACTTTTTAACAAGGCTTTTTTGGGGAAGTGGTTCTGGCGGCTGGGAGAGGAAAGAAACTCTTTATGAAGGAAGGTGGTGGCTTGCAAGTATGGGGTGACAGAATTTGGGTGGGATTCAAAGGAAGTTAAGGCTCCCTATGGGTTTATGTGTGGGAAGGAATCATGATCAGCATTTCTGTACTTTGTTTCATTCAAGGTGGGAAATGGAAGGAACATTAGATTCTCAAAGGATGATTGGTTGGGTATTGGTAGGCTGTTTGATTTATGCGCAAGATTGTGTATAGGCTCAGTAGGTAAAATGTCTCTATTGCTGATTGCTATAGTGTGAGACAAGGAAGAGTGGTTTGGTCCAAGGTTTAGGTGCCCCCTTTTTCATTGGGAGATTGAGTGTGTGGGCCTATTGACAAAACTACAGTCAATGGAAATCCAAGTGGAGAAAAGTGATGTGAGGTGGTGGGAAGAGAAAAGGAATAGTGTCTTTCCAGTAAAACCTTTCCTTTCTATATAATGCTTTGGTGAGGCAGGTGGAGAAATCCAATGGCAGTGGGGTTTGGAGAAATCTTGTACTTCCTACAGTGGAACTTAGACATCATTCTTACTCAAGATCATATAAAAGGAAGGGGAATTCCATTGGTAGAGAGATGTTACCTTTGCCTAGTAGAAGAGGAGAGTGTGAGCATTTGTTTATTGACTGCTGTTTTTCAAAGTATGTTTGGGGGTATTATTTCAGCCTTTTCAGCCTTGATTTGTGGAGACCAAGGTAACCTCAAGAAATTTTTGATAGATGGCCTGTGCTAGGGCTGTCAATGGGTTGGAACCTGGTAGAACCGGTCCTGAACCGACAAGAAAAACCATGGACCCGGAACCGAACCAGATCTTATAGGGTCTGTAATTTTGGACCCAGATTGGTTCTTGGTTCCCTGTGAGAAGAAGAAGAACTAAAAAAAACCTAGGGCTAGCAAACTTCCGATCTCTATCAAGTAATAGAGATGAATCACAACCAAACTATAGATTTTTCTCTTGTAATTTTGAACAAGACAAAAAATAAACTAATTTCAAGCATGAGACATACATGTCAGTTGCCACACAGCCACACTGTTGCAAAGCTTTGTCATAGCTATTGCCTAGGATTCCACTATTTGGACTCTACCAGTCGTTGTTGCCGCTGCTGCCTCCACCAGTAGATGTTGCTGCTACTTGTGGATTGGCACTCTTAAGTTCACACTCATAGTCTAGTACAGATTAGAGTTTGGTTTCTTTGAGTTCAATAGATCTAAGACCGAGAGAGGATTGATATTGAGTGAAATTATGAAAGGGAGAGTGAGAGTGATTGAATGAAAAAGTGAAGAGATTAAAGGAATAAAGGAGAAAGGAGAAAGGAGAAAAAGGGGGAAAGAGAGGAGAGAGCATACCTGATGCCTGAAACTTGAAGACTTGGAGGTTGGAGCCGATGGTCGATACAGGAGAACTGAGAAACAGAGGGGGGGGATGAAAAGTTTTGGCATTTTTCTTGTTTTGTCTTAGGGTTTCATTTTAAAAATTAGTGAATGATCTTTTTGGACATTTAGAAATTATAAATATTATATATAAATCTATTTAATATATTATATATATGCATCGGTTCGGTTCTAAGTCGGTTCGGGACATGGCAGAACTGGTCCCAACCCAATAATAATCGGGACCAACAAACAGGAACTGGAACTGACCCATGGGTGTAAATACTGGAACCAGAACCAATACAATCGGTTCAGTTCCGTCAGGTCCATTGGGTTAGACCTGACTCATTGACAGCCCTAGCCTGTGCTGAGGAAAAGTACAAAGGCGAAGATAGTTTGGAGTTGCATTCCATTTGCTATTTGCTGGGAGATTTGGAAGGAAAGAAACAGAAGAATTTTTGATGGCCAGTTAAAATGCAGGGATCAAATTGTTTTCTTTTGTGGAAAAAGGTGTAGGGATTGGGTCTTGCTTCTTCCAGAATTTGAGGGAATCACAAATGAAGAATTTAATTGTAGTTTTTGTACTGTAATAGATCTAGATCTTGAGAGATGAAAGACTTGTACTTTTTCTTTTTATTTTGTTTGGAGTGATCCCTCAGGGTCAAGTCATGAATATAGCATGTAGACCAGTGGCAGACAACTGACCACCTATGCTGATGTGAAATAACTATTTGAAGATTCTAGGAAATCTCCTGTTTAGAAAAGTAAATGAAATTGTTTAAGGTAATGTGGATTTCTAAACCCGGGGGGGGGGGACTTTGACTACTCCTCTCATCTTCCTCCACCAAATCATTCCACTGACTCAGCCATTCAGACTTTTGGACATCTGACCACCGCTACTCTATGCTCTCACGAGGTGAAGAAAGATCAAACTAGGAGGCATGGGGAACTTCCTTGAATTGCTTCTGCATTATCAACCAAGACCAAGATATGAGGTATCCCATACCTTGGATTTTCTTAGAAGCACTTCATCAGAGCTGAATTTGTTCTAAAAACTGCAAGAATTTCTTCCACGCCAAATTGTCCATAAGACCATAGAGGGAAGCATTGACCCTAGTACTTTGCTCTTTTTACCAAGTCATTAGGATGCCAACTTATAAAAAGCTACTCCAAAGTCTTGGGAAAGCACTACTCGATCCTGAAAACACAAATGAAATAAGTCCATGGAGCTGACTAATATGGCAATCCATATTGGACAGATCCATTCCTCATAGAGTTTAGGTATGAATTGATATTTGCCCAATGTTGCTGACAACACTATAAAAAACTGCATTGGAGGGTATAGCAGGACACATGATTTTATTACTGGAAAGGACCATGGTGGCCTGTACTACTGGAGTTAAAACTTCTGAAAAAGGAGTATGATCTGTAATTGCTTTGTAGTAATGTGGCTACTACATGATTGTTTGCAATTAGAGAAACAAAACAGTTGACAAGAGAGTTGAAAGCAAGCTTTAACTAGTTACCAAGATTAGCTAATCATGTGGCTGATGCTTTGGAAAGACAAGGAGCAAGGATTAATTGAATCTTTGAACCGGACCAGATTTTCAGTATTGCTCTGGACCATGGAGATTAATGGTTAAAACTGGAAAGTTACACCCGACCCCTAGACTCGATTATGATACTGCACTAGGTGTCGGATTGGACTATCTTTGATGTACCAATCAGTGAGATCC